CAGGCTGGCTAAAACCTAGAACATTTAGAAATACCAAACAAGGGCACCTGGGTGGCTCAGTCGGTTAAGCGTCCAACTTTGGCTCAGGTCACGATCTCACGGTTTGTGGGTTCGAGCCCTGCGTCGGGCTCTGTACTAACAACTCAGAGCCTGGAATCTGCTTTGGATTCTGTGTCTCCCTCTCTCTCTGCCCCTCCCCCACTCACACTCTGTCTCTCTTTCTCTCTAAAATAAACATTTAAAAAAATCTTTAAAAATACCAAAATAGATTGGGGTGCCTGGGTGGCTCAGTCGGTTAAGCGTCCAACTTCAGCTCAGGTCACGATCTCACAGTCTGTGAGTTTGAGCCCCGCGTCAGGCTCTGTGCTGACAGCTCAGAGCCTGGAGCCTGCTTCAGATTCTGTGTCTCCTTCTCTCTCTGCCCCTCCCCTGCTCATGCTCGGTCTCTCTCTGTCTCAAAAATAAATAAAAACATTAAAAAAAAATACCAAAATAGATTATAAATGCAGGTGCACTCATAAATAAATAAACAAATAAATAAATATTGAAGGGATATAGAGAGGTAGAAGGGCATTCAAGTAAGATGATTTTAAGTCAGTTACTCATAAACCTAGCTGCCATTAGAATTATCTGGTTCCATCTCAGATCAGTTAAATCAGAGAAGGTGATGATAGGGCCCAGGAATGGTTATTTTTTAAAAGCCCCTTGAGTAATTCTACTCTATAGTCAGGTTTAAACAGCAACATTCTAAATTTAAAGGGATCTTCAGTCAGAAATATTAAGGAATTCCTATTTTTTATTCTGTACTATGGGAGTCAAAAGAGAAAACAGAAAGAGTAACATTTAAGTTGCCAAATTGCAACTGAAATAAATAACACTTTCTGTCTGAAAAGAAAACAATTATTGAATTATAAAACCAACAGCCCTAACTATGCAACTAATTTATTTAAAAATTGGTAGTGTGGGGTGCCTGGGTGGCTCAGTCGGTTGAGCGTCCGACTTTGGCTCAGGTCACGATCTCATGGTTTGTGGGTTCGAGCCCCACGTCGGGCTCTGTGCTGACAGCTCAGAGCCTGGAGCCTGCTTCCAATTCTGTGTCTCCTTCTCTCTCTGCCCCTCCTCCACTTGTGCTCTATCTCTCAAAAATAAATAAATGTAAAAAAAAATTTTTTTAATTTAAAAATTGGTAGTGTAAGCTGCTCTCTTCTTCACATCTAAAAAAAAAAAAAACTACTGTAATCTTGTCACAAGACTCTACTATCAAAACCAACCAAGATTCTTATATTAATTCAACATTTGTTAAGCTTATGGTATATACCAGACATTGTGATAAGTGCAAGAAACAGTGGGGACTAAGGCAAGAACATTTTGGTGAATATACTCCCTTAGGAAACTTTCAGTCTATATGGAGAATAGACATTAAGGAAAACCATCAGTATGATATCTGTTACAAGGAAGGTATAAAAATACCAAGTGCTACAGAGAATTGTGTACCTGCAGGATTAAACTACTGGGGGGGGGGGCTGTGAACAGGAGGAGTTGGCAAAATCAGGGAACGCCTTTCTGAAAAAATGTTACCTAAATTGAGATCTAATCGAAGAGCAAATAGTTAATTAGGTGAGGGCAAGTATAGTGTTGGCAGCCAGAGCAGGGGATAATAGCAAATGTAAAGGTCCTGGAGTGGGGGTGGGGCCTAAAACATCCCAAGAACTGAGAGAAGATGAACATGGCTAGGGCAAACAGAGAAGGGAACAAGAGGAAGAGTAGCTCATTATAAGGTTAGAAAGGTAGGCAGGGGGCACTTGGATGGCTCAGCAGGTTAAGCTCCCAGCTCAGGTTGTGTTCTCACAGTTCTTGAGATTGAGCCCCACATAGGGCTCTGCACTGATAGCACAGAGCCTGCTTGAATTCTTTTTCTCCCTCGCTCTCTGGAGCCTGCTTGGGATTCTTTCTCTCTCCCTCACTGCTCTCTGCCCTTCCCTCACTGGTGCTCTCTCTCAAAATAAATAAACAAACTCAAAAAAAAAAAAAAAAAAGGGCAGATGCCAGATCATACACAACCTTGCAGATGTTAATTAAGGGTTGGGCACCTGGGTGGCTCAGTCAGTTAAGCCTCCGACTTCAGCTCAGGTCATGATCTCACAGTTCCTGAGTTCAAGCCCCACATTGGGCTCTCTACTGTCAGCGTGGAGCCCACTTTGGATCTTCTGCCCCCCCCTCTTTCTCTGCCCCTTCCCTTCTGGTGCTCTCTCTAAAATAAATAAACATTAAAAAAAAATTTTTTTTAAGTTAAGGGTTTGAACTTCATCCTCAAAACAATGGGAAATCACAGCCAAGTTGTAAACAAAGGAGTGACAATCTGTTTCCAAATCAATCTGAACACAGCTAAATTTTTGCTAGAATTGTCCTAAAAGAATGCCTTGACCAGTGTTTCAAGAAACAAGGAAGTAATATTCTTACAGAGATGATAGGATCATCAAGCTGTCATGGCTTGATCACATCAATCATTAAGTGCATGCATAAAAATCTCTCTACTTGAATTCCATGTTTACTAAAGCAACATTTGGTCTGTAATTTAGGTTTCAATGAAATGCTTCCTAGGTGGAAGAACACTCTTATTGGCTGGTCATCATAATTACATAAGACCATTTGATACTTTACATATTTCATGACAAATTACAAAATTAACACTGCTTTATTAGTTTATCATGAGTAACTATATGCCCTATTTAATGGTTATTTCTAGTTCTGTCTGCCCAGAAAGCACCTTCCATCTCCTGTGGAAATGCCCCTATGATTTTGGTGGGAGGGCTACCAATGACAAACTTCACTCCCCTGGCCACAAGTGGGTAAATTCTAGGTCATATACTGCGCTCCTCATTATAGTTTCTCCATTCTGGCTATAGGGACTAATCCAAAGGATGGGCACATGACCTAGGTTAGGCCAATCCTCTAGACTTCAAATACTGAAGCTTAGACATATTGTTGTTCTTCAACGTGTAAGCTCGGTAAGGGTATGACCTTGAACAGCTGACAGTCAAAGTCCGTATCTGCGGAGAAGCCAGAGTAAAGGCAGAAATGCTGAAAGTAGAGACAAGCACTGATAAGGGGCCGAGGCAGTTCTGATGCATCATAATACTGTCTAGGAAGTCCCTGAGACCAGCTGCATCCCCACCTTTCTGGATTTAACTACATTTCTTTTTGCTTCAGCTAGTCTGAGCTGGTTTTTGTCACTTGCAACCAAAAGGAAACAAACATCCAATGCTATGTAAAAAGGAATGAACTGGCTTTCAGTAAATAACATTTGCATCATTATCTACTGGGCTTTAAGCATTACTTCTGTCCTTACACAGGAAAGAAAGCTATATTCCCAGTAAGACTTTATCATTTTTACAGGGATAAGGCATATTATATACACAATAAAAGATTAAGTTCAAGTCTGCAAACATTTTATTTTTTTTTTAATTTTTTTTTTTTAATGTTTATTTATTTTTGAGACAGGGAGAGACAGCATGAACGGGGGAGGGTCAGAGAGAGGGAGACACAGAATCTGAAACAGGCTCCAGGCTCTGAGCTGTCAGCAGAGAGCCCGACGCGGGGCTCGAACTCACGGACCATGAGATCATGACCCGAGCGGAAGTTGGATGCCTAACCGACTGAGCCACCCAGGTGCCCCAAGTCTGCAAACATTTTAAATTAGAATTTTTAAGATTAGAGCAGGGAAAAATTGAGGTGTATTAAAAACAATGAATTAGGAACCAAGAGACCAAGGTTCTCAACTGTGTCTTATGCTACTGTTACCTTGGCATATCACTTATTCTCAGTAAACTACACTCTCTTCACCTGAAAAGAGAGAATGTTCTACATTATTTCTAAGGTTGCTTTCAGGATGAAATCACTGAATCATTTTTAAGGACAAAAAGCATATTCCTCATTCACATTATTCCATATTAAACAAATAAAAAAGTGTAAATTCATTTTTGACTAACCTAAATTCAACTTTTTTTTTCCTATTTAAGAGTCTACTCTTAAAATATGAATTTCTGAAAGACTACTACCACAAGCAAAGGATCCCTCCAAATGTGAACCCCAAATGAAGATACTCAAAAAAAATGAATATTTGGTATAAACTGAATGGTTTCTTAAAAAGTTTTACTTTCCAATTATTTTTAAGATATTTAGACCTAGAAATTTTAATTTCTATCTTGATCCTACTAGGGCATAACTGAGTATCCTTGTCTTTTTTACTAATTTAGTCTTCAGAAAATTCTAATTTAGAAGTCTGCAACATCACAAAGTATTTTAAACTAGCAATAGATGGGGAAAAAACTCAATACAAACGCTGGTCAAAGAATATATAAGGTGGAGTAAAAAGAAGCCCAAATCAGAAATCAGGAGGACAGTTTAAAAACAATTTCATTCTCAGTAACAACTCCCCTCCAAAGGGTAAGTTTCAGGATTGAAGTTTTTAGATTGAAATGAGCTAGCTTTGTGACATTTTATTCTGCGGGTCACGGCTTTCCCCAAAAAATACCAAAAAACAAAACAAAACAACTACTTTGGAAAACTTTTTGAAGGCGCACTCCGAAAGCTCAGGCCCCAGATCTATCTCACATGTGGGACCATGTGTCCCACATGCGAATGACACCAAATATATCCCTCAAACTGAAATTTAAAACATTACCCTCGTACTGCCTTGGCAATAAAAAGGGGAACCTTACTCAAAGTCAGTCCTCAACGCTGAGCCTGGGGGAGAAAGGACTAATTTTGCCCTTCCCATTTAATTAAGCAGAATAGACCCAGCAGCCCCTCCGCCGGGGTCTCAGGAGGGTCAAAGGAATTCGGTGAGTGACGCTTCTCCCCAAGGTCCCAGGACGTTCTCAGGAGGCAACAGGGCTCCGGTGGAGCTTGGGGACTTCGACGGTTGGGGCCTGGGGTCGCCCCGCGGCCGAAGAGCCGCACGGGAAGGCCTGTGCGTGGCAGTCACTGGACAAACTCACCTCGGCGTCTTCTTTGCACTGCGGGAGCGAGGGGAACTCCAGCTTCACGTCCTCCATGGTCCGGGCCCCGAGGCTTGTGGGCGGGGTGGGAGAGGGAGTTTTATCCGGCCCGCCCGACCCTCGGGCTGCCACTGACAGAGATAGGGAGGAGGGCGGGTGGGCCAGAGGGCTGACGGGCGGGCAGCGGGCTTACAACTAACACACGCAGACTAAAGGGTCCCAGCGACTCCGGCGGCGACGGCGGCGACAGCGGGGAAGAGGAGGGTTGGGCGGCTCATACCCCGCCGCCATGCTGCTGCCGTCTCCCTCCCCCTGAGTCTCCGCGCCCCTCAGGCCGCACAGGCTCGGGCACTAGCAAGAGCCCTACAACCGTCTCCCCTCCTTTCCCCCCTCCCCACCCCTCGCTATCCCAGCCAATCCCAGCCCACGCTTGCCTTCGGCCCGCCCCCCGCGGCCGCCAGGTGTCAGCGCGCCGCTGCCCCGCCCCTTCGCCAGAGCGCAGACGCGGGGGGCGGGGCCTCGGAGGAGCAACGGCCGAAGCTCACCGCCCGAAGCTCACCGGGTGTGGAGGAGGTGGGGCTGCGGCAGGAGGGGGCCACGACTGAAGGTCCTGGGAAAGGCAGTGGGACCAACCGCACCAGCTCTAACCTTTCCCAGAGAGGAAGCAAATCTGTAGTTTAGGAACCGGCAAACATCCTAGCCACCAGAGACTGGCATCCGAAAGGAAAACTGTATTTTCTCCCCTCAGAATCCTGCGCAATCTGTGGTGAGGTTATAACCGAAAGAGTAATAAATGAAGAGTTCATCTTAAAACTGTGTTATGCTACACAAAAAATAAAACACCCTTGGTTTTTAAGCAAATTGAAATGGTGGACTTTCAAGAATACTTGGGACTATGACAAAATCTCAAGAAACAAAGGCATATAGAAAATCCTAAGGAATAGAAACAACCGATAGCTCACTCAGTAAATTACACATCATACTGAAGGTCTCTCCCTTTAATGCTAAGTTTATGTTGAAATATCAATTATAATTATATATAATATAAATATATTAATAAAATACATGGCTTTCATCTTAAAAAGGAGTTTGAGTCTGTTAATACTATATTGTTAATAGAAGTGAGGTATATACTTTCTCTGGGCCCAGGGAGATACTGTTCTCCATTTAATTTAAACACGAGGAATATCAAACTTAGAAGCGGAAGAATCCATACTTAAACTTTCAAGATTTGTAAACCAAACTGATTCTTATAACCAAAAAATAAACCAAAGTAAAAAGGCAAGAAAGTCATTAAATTGCAAATTACAATGAATAAGGTTAAAAGAATCACATATTTGACCTACACGCCCTTGACAAACATACTGTTATTTGTATATTGTCATATTTATGAAACACACTACCAACATATATAGAACCATTCAATAACTTGAGTATTAGATGGCTAGTTTGAGTGCTCCATTTTCTCTATCACTATGTAAACTATTCTCTATCTTTTAAAGTTATAAAAAGACATACAATACTCTGCAAGTAACTTTTTAATTTGAAAAATGATTGTATAATTATCCAAGTCATATATCACACATTCTTTAGTGTTTATGAAAAGTGAAGTCAAGTTGTTTTTGTTTAAACAGCACCTTTAATAAGATAATCTCAGGTGACGCCAACAATTTCCTATTTTAATCTGTTAAAGCTTTAAGTCCACATGATAAAAAAATTGTGTGTAGGTAACAGAACTTCAGCTTTGAACATTTCTGACATCAACATCCCCTACATCAAACACTCTTAGCTTAGTATCCATAGATACCTATGGAGCCAATGGGTGAGTTTGGAAAATAATAAATCTCCTTAAGTTTTAGTGTATGCAAAATTGTGTGTATGTACATCTGACTTTTTCTGGGAAGAGGGTCCACACCTTAATATTCTGAAAACGGAACTATCATCTCACATAAATCAAGAAAACCAAGTCACATTTGTTAGCAAATATTACTTTTAATCTAAAAAATGGTTATGGACATGCATGTACTATTTCAATTAGCTATCATACAGTCTAATCATAGGTGAAGAGTGAATAAAGACCTTCCATTATCAATATAGATATACACATCTACGCTTTATATAACAAGACGCTGTTAGGAACACTGAGTGTGTGTACGGTTTTAAAATTCAAAAGCCTGTAATCCAAATAGAATTCATTTTGATTATTAAATAATTTACTAAAAGGACCATCATAAATGTAATCTTTAAAAAGACAAAAATATATGTAGGAGAACTAAAACAGATTTTATTCAACTTTTTAGGATGAGGAAAACAAATGATATAAAATAAGTCATAAGAAATGCTCTCATACTACGATTTCAAACTACTTTCAATGTTTTACAAAATGGTCACACAGCAAATACGAAAAGCTTCAACATACTCATAACTTTTGCTGCAATAAATGCAATATTAACAAACATACAAATTTCTTCTGTACCAATCTTAAAAGTAGAATTAATTACTAATTTTTAGTGTTATCCATACATATTTTTATTCATATGCTTTTAATGAGATCATTGCCAATACACACATTATTTTCCTTAACTTTATTTTTACATTAAGCCAGGATCTGTCATGCAGTCATCAAAAACCTTCCAGTAAATTACACAGGTTTGTAGTCCAATTTAGACTCTAGCTTCTTAGAATCAGCCACTTTTCTGACTGCTTTCATGAAGTCTTCCTGTACTACAAAATCATGATCAGCACGAATTGCAAACATACCTGTGGAGAACAGAACAACATGACTGCTATATATAACATGTAAATAATTTATTGTAAGAAAACTAAGAGGGAGTGGGCGAAATCGGTGAAGGTAGTCAAAAGGCACAAACTTCTAAGGATAAAATAAATCCTGAGGATGCGATATACAGCATGGTGACTATACTTAATAATACTGTAGTCTATATTTGAAATTGCTGAGAGTAGATCTTAAAAGTTCTCATCAAAGAAAAAAATACCTTGTTTACTATATGTGGTGATAGATATTAACTAGATTTATTGTAGTGATCATTTACAATATATCAAATAATTATGTTGTACATCTGAAACTAATATTATTTGACAATTGTTATCTCAATAAAAAACAATAAAAAAAATTTTTTTTAGGAAAATTAAGTAATTTAATTCTGTGGAGTAAATGTGAAGGAGCCTAGATTTATTTTGGAAGTAAACACTACCTCATTATGGGGCTTGAACTCATGACCCCAAGATCGAGTCACACACTCCATTGACTGAGCCAGCCAGTTGCCCGTAGATTTACTACTTCTGAGCCAATAGTTCTAATTTATTAAAAACAACCATCATTGTTCAATTAATTTGCTTAGCTATATTGAGTATTATTTTCCAAACCAAAAGCGAGACAACAATGAGAAAACTATCTGGATATTTAAAATCTAACTCACACAGTCCCTGTATCTAATGACATTCCGAAAAAGCAAAATAAAGCCCTACTATCAATAAAACATACACATCTTAAGCAGTGGTTTCTTAACTCTACAGACAACAATTGCCTGGAAGGAGGGAACACGTGTATAATGTGGGAAAACACAAAACACCTTCAGTAATTTTGATAGCCTTTCCTTCTTAATAATCAAAAGCTTAAAGAATAGTAATTAAAGTCAACACTGGGCTTATCAAAAATGAGTGACAATAATCACATAATTAAAATTTACCTTTTTTATGAACAAATTGATATTTTATATGAATTTCACACTCAAGGATCACAATTCAACTTTTTCAAGTTAATGATAAGTTACTTGTCAAATACGACTTGACATGGATATGGGTCCAAGATTTTGAGACAATCCCAATTTCATGATAAGCTAAAGCTGGTAAGTTATCACTATGTACTAATATTTTCATTGAAGATCTGCTTACACTTTCATTTATGTAAAATGAGTGCAATACAAGATTTCAAGGGTTATTTTCTATCTTCCAAGATTTCTACCTACCTAGTCTTGGAAATAGCCATTGTATGTTGTACTCAGAAATCAGGTGAATGGAAATTTCTAGTTTTTAATATTGAAGTTTTTTAAAACCTATTTTGGAGGTGCCTGGGTGGCTCAGTTGGCTAAGTGTCCGACTCTTGATTTTGGCTCAGGTTATGATCTCACGGTTCATGGGATTGACCCCTGCATTGGGCTTGGGCTCTGTGCTGACAGTGCGAAGGCTGTTTGGGATTCTCTCTCTCCCTCCCTTCCCCTCTCTCTGCCCTCCCCAGCTCTCTCTGTGTCTCTCAAAATAAATAAATAAACTTTAAAATGAAATAAAATAAAAATAAAATATAAATAAAAATAAACAAAACAAAATAAAATAAAGTAATAAAATAAAACCTGTTTTGAAGGCTACTTATTTTTCCAAACTTTGTGCATATGACTGTTTCCAAACCATTATTTAGTGAATGGCTGAGCCTGAGTTACATTCCAATCCAAAAAGGCTAATCTCAGGATGTGAGTGGAAAAGACAACTATAACTGAATCAAGTTTATTTTACATTGCAGAAAGATGTTAACAAAAAAGGCTTAAAGTCTGATAAAGAATTTTAGTGTCTCCAAATATGAACACCCCAGGCCATTTAAAAAGCTAAGATTGTAATCTATACCAAAGTTATAGCTCTTTACTGGAAACAGCTAAAATCATTTTTGTTTTGTTTTGTTTTAAGTAAGCTCTACGCCCAACATGGGGCTTGAACTTACCACCCTGAAGTCAACAATCACATGTTCTACCAACTCAGTCAGCCAGGCACCCCAGCCTAAAATGTTTTTACAATATGTGAAGTATACAAATTTCTAGTTGTAAGATAAGTAAGTACTAAGGATGTAATGTACAACATAAGGACTATAGCTAACATTGCTATATGATGTATAAGAAAGTTAAGAGAGTAAATCCCAGGAGTTCTTATCACAGGAGAAAATATTTTTCCTTTTTTCTAACTGAATCTATATGAGAAGATAAATGTTAGCTGAACTTATTGTGGAAATCATTGCATAATATACGTAAACCAAACCATCATGCTGTACAACCTAAACTTATGCAGTGATATACGTCAATTATTTGTTGACAAAACTGAAAAAAAAAAAGCAAAAAACAAATATAATTTGATGGTATGAACCTTTAGGATTATGACATTGCTTTTGTTTAGATTCCAATTTCATCAAAGCAATATTCTAATAATTTGGTCCAGTGTAGATTTTGGAAAGACACTGTCATAAATTATTCTAAGTAGTTCAAGCTACATCCAAGTTTACCACTTAATGTGTTTTGTTTATTAGGAGGTCTTTGTGAGCATGATTTACTCTGATCTGTACTGAGTTTCTAAACCTGCAGATTTCTGATCCAGGTACTGAGTCACCATATACCCATTAAGATACTGCTATGGAGAAGCCATATCTGAGCAGCCTCTTTAAACTGTTAAATTTATAAGAAATGCTAAAGGTGATATGAAAACAAGAGGAAATGACATATTGTAATACTTAAAAAAAAAAACAAAAAACAAAAAACTGTTCACCCGCAACCTAGGAAAGTCAGTAACTATAAAAACTAGGGTAAAAATTAATTTTTTTTAATTTTAAGATTCTGTGTGGAGGACAAAGACTAAAGGGCTCTATGTATGGTTTTAATGCCACCTGGTACCAGAAATAAAATTTTTTTTTTTTTAATTTTTTTTTTTCAACGTTTATTTATTTTTGGGACAGAGAGAGACAGAGCATGAACAGGGGAGGGGCAGAGAGAGAGGGAGACACAGAATCAGAAACAGGCTCCAGGCTCTGAGCCATCAGCCCAGAGCCCGACGCGGGGCTCGAACTCACGGACCGCGAGATCGTGACCTGGCTGAAGTCGGACGCCAACCGACTGCGCCACCCAGGCGCCCCAGAAATAAAATTTTTAAAAACAGGATCACACAATCCATAGAGAAATCTGTATTAAAAAAACTATAACATTTTACACAAGTTGCATGATCACAAAATTCATAAATCAATCTTACAACGCTTATTGCTAAGACTAGTATCGGAAAACAAGTTATCCACTTTGCAGCAAATACTTCTGGTGCTAGCACAGTCTAATTTCAGCCACAGTACAGTCTCAGACTTACTTCAGGGGGCCAGTATGCTATCACATGCAAGTCTTTCCACATTCTGGTCTAAGGCATCTAGAAGTATAAAGGAGTTAACATCCCCAAGGGTAAATTATCATCCAGTGGGGGATGACAGCTGGTAAATAAATGCTCCAGTCTCCCATAGATCAGCCATTCTGTATGTTTGTGTGAGATGTCATCAAATCAAATCCCACCTGTCTATAGCAGCTACGTCAATGATGCACCCTTACAATAGCTTTCCCTCTTTCCATTGCACTTTCCTGTTCTCTCCTGCTTCCTGGAATCAGTTCCCCCTCCCTCACCCCCTGCAAAAAAACAAGTACCTAAATCCTCGCAAAGCCCAGGCTCTTCTTTTGGACAAATCCAAACACATTCTTAGCAAATTAAATAAATCAACATCAATAATAAAAACTGTACTTTAAACACATACCTGCTTCAGTACAAACATTTCTCAGGTCCGCTCCATTAAAGCCATCTGAAAGCTTCACAATTGCTTCATAATCTGTTTAGGAAAAAATGCTGGAAATTAGTTTTAAAAAAATTTAGCCTTTTTCTTGATTTATGCCTATATAGAAAATTTAACTACAGACCTTGCTTTGAATTTGACCAGCTAGGCATCATCTCTGTTGACATTCCTCCAAAATATTTAGCAAGTCCTCCACAATATTAACTACCAAAACTTATACTTCTATGAAGTAAACCAGCACCAAGCAGAAATAAACATGCTTTTGACATTTTAAAACCAAGAAATAGCATCAAGATCTGAAAGCATCTTAACCTGTTTCTATGCAATGAAACAATTATGCACATGTGAACTTAAGATATCTGTCAAGCCAGGAATCTTATAAAAACTGCAACCAGGGCACCTGGGTGGCTCAGTCAGTTAAGTGTCTGACTCTGACCCAGATCATGATCTCATGGTTCGTGAGTCAGAGCCCCACACTGGGCTCTGTGCTGACAGCTCTGAACTTGGAGCTTGCTTTGGATTCTGTGTCTCCCTCTCTCTCTGCCCCTCCCCTGCTTGCTCTATCTCTCTCTCTTTCTCAAAAAATAAATAATAAAAATTAACATAAAATTAAAAAAAAACTATAACCAAATCTTTAATTTGAATAAACCTAAGATATGAAAATCAACTGTAACCACAATGGAATTTAGTCACATTAATATAAAATATACCAGAAACAAATATCAGAAATAATTTTCACATTTTTATCATATTTAAAAAACATTTTTTAATGTTTATTTATTTTTGAGAGAGAGAGAGAGAGAGAGAGAGAGAGACAGAGCACAAGTAGGGGAGGGGCAGAGAGAGAAGGAGACACAGAATCCGAAGCAGGCTCCAGGCTCTCAGCTGTCAGCACAGAGCCTGACGTGAGGCTTGAACCCATAAACCACGAGATCATGACCTGAGCTGAAATCAGATGCCTAACCAAGTGAGCCACCCAGGCGCCCCTCATATATTTTTATATAACCATTTTAAATGGCTAGCTTTTCTGGTGTCTGTGCAAGCTCCAAGTGGTAAGGTATCAGATCTATGGTAATAGTAATGGTTAAGTGATCTTCTTAACCACATGACAGACTTGAAATCAAGAGCTGTTGGTTTGGAACAGCAGTTGTGGACTTGATATAGAATAAGGACAGAAATAAGAGACAGCATGAGCTACTACAATGTAATTCTGATGAGACACCCTTTGCCAGGCAATCTAGAGTAGGTCAGTCTCTTTTTGAGATTAGATAGATACTCAGTAATTAATTTTCCCTCAGGTTCAAGTTCATATAACCTTCCTGAGAGCAGGGATTCCCAAGGTTAGCATAGTATCTGGCACCTAGCAAGAGCTCAGTATTGAAGAAACCTATAAATTGGCATCCCTAGTTAAGCTCAGTCTTTCTAGCTCAAAACTGTATTTACTTAAGCAATGAGAAAGTTGGTGAGAAGCAATAATCAACTATTTGTAACTATTTCTGGACCATTAACTTCTAAGGGTCTATAAAGCTGCCTGGTTTATATAGATTATACTAGAATCCCCTAGTCCAGGGGTCAGCAAATTTTCTGTAATGGGCCAGAAAGTAAATATTTTAGGCTTTGCAGGCCATATGGTCTCTGTCAAAACTATGCATTTCTGCTAACGCAGTGGAAAACCAGTCATAGACAATATATAAACAATTGGGAGTGGTTGTGTTACAATAAAACTTTATTTACAAAAAGAGGCATCAGATAGAATTTGGCCCACATCAATGGTTTGCTGACCTCCATCCTAGAGTCCACTCTCTCACTATTGTAGCTAACTACTTTTTAACTTTTTCTCTGTCCTCAAATGTCTAGCAATACTTCCCCATCTTCACTCTGAACTTGCTTCCTATTTCACTGAGAAAATAAATGCATTCAGAAGAAAAATTTTATAAGTTTCTGCCATATTTCAGATACTGCCATCATCAGTATCTATTTATTCTGCCTTCCCTCCTATGCTCACAAATGACAAGTCTATGCTCACAGACAAGGCCAACCTCTCTTCAAGGAAAGTGCATTATCAATTTCTCTCTCTCTCTCCTAGATTATTTGCATTAAGCACTAAAAAAGTGTTGTAAATTCTTCCATCTTAAATAAACTCTCCCAAATTTTCATTCACCTCCATTTCCACTACAGCTACATTTTTTCTCTTCTCTCTTTGCTGCAGAATTCCTTGAAACAAATGTCTAAAAACAACGCCTCTCTGTACAATCTCCTTGAAACTCATTTGAGGTAGGCTCTCTCTCTCACCACTCCAAACAAATTGCTTTGATAAGGTCACCAATTACCTCCACATAGTAAATCCAAAGATCCATTCTCAGAACTCTTTTTATCTGACTCACTGTCAGCATTTAACAGGGAATTACTCCCTCCTTGTATCAATTTCTTCATTTATCTTTCAAGACATCACCAGCTCCTGGTTTAACTTCCCTCTATGACTATACCTTCTCAGTCTCCTTTGATGGTCTTCATCTCAGTTTCTTAAAATTGGAATTAGCTCAGTTTTTTTTTTTTTTTTTTTTTAATGTTTCTTTATTTTTGAGAGAGAGAGAGAGAGCATGAGCAGGGGAGGGGCAGAGAGAAGGGGATAGAGGATCCAAAGCAGGCTCTGTGCAGACAGCAGCCAACCTGATGTGGTGCTTGAACTCACAAACCGTGAGATCATGACCTGAGCAAAAGCCAAACACTCAACCAACTGAGCCACCCAGGCACCCCTCAGCTCAGTTTTTGAACATCTTCTCTATCTACATTTACTTCCTTAGAAATCTCATCTAATCTCAAGACTTCAAAAAAAATTTTATGCTGTTATTATCCACAATTATATCTCCAGAATAGACCATCCCAATAAACTATCCATGCATATAGAATTACCAAGCAACGTCTTTATTTCGATCTCTAATTGGTATCTCAGATTTAATATATTCAGAATCAAATTCTTTATTCTCCCTTTAAAACCTAATCTTTCTAGTCTCCCCCATTTTAAATGATGACAACTCCATCTTTCCAGTTGCATGAGTCAAAAACCTAAGTCTTCCTGCTGCTTCTTGTTACCTTACACCCCATAACTGATTCATTAGCAAGCCCTGTCACTTCTATTTTCAAAATATGTCCAGAATCTCATTATTGTAAGACTTTGCTACCACCTGAGACACCACCATCTTGTGCCTGGATTATCCAAATATCCTAACTTATCCTCGTTTCTGTCTTTGCCCTTCTGTGTGCAACCAGAATGATCTTATTTAACATAAGTCAATTATAAAATATTTACAGATGATATGATATAATGCCTGAGACTTGCTTTTTAAAAATCCAGAAGGAAGGTAAGAAGAGGTGGAAGAGATCACAGATGAAACAAGATTTGCCAAGAGTTATTAATTATTAAAGCTGGGTGGGTGATGAGTACCCAGGGTTACAAGTTCATTATACTCTTATCTCCACTTCTATGTATTTCTAATTTTCTACATTACAAAGTTAAAATAACAAACGTTAAGATCATAGCATTCCTCTGCTCACAATCTTCCAATGACAAAAATAAAATAAAAGCCAAAGTTCCTACACAATGGCCTCAATAAGGCTCTACGCAATTTGATTCCCATTATTTCTATGATTTCACTTGCTACTACTATCCTGATTACACTGCCACAGACACCCTGGCCTCTTTGCTACTCCTGGAATGTTCCAGTCATATACCTGCCTCAAGTTCTTCCTCTTGCTGTTCCCTCTGCTTGATTTTCCCTTAAATATCTATACCTAGTTCCTTCACCTTTTTAGGTCATTGGTTGAAAATCACTTTCTTAGTTAGGCTTTCCTCTGCTTCCTCCTCTCCACCTCCATTTAAAAAGGTATATAGGGGCCCCTGGGTGGCTCAGTCAGTTAAGCATCTGATTTCAGCTCAGGTTATGATCTCATAGTTTGTGGGTTCGACACCCGCATGGGGCTCTGTGCTGATAGCTCAGAGCCTGGAGCCTGCTTCAAATTCTGTGTCTCCCCATCTCTCTGCCCTCCTCTGCTCACATTCTGTGTCTCTCTCTCAATAATAAATTTTTTAAAAAGTTAAAAATAAATAAATAAATGTATATAATCATGGGCGCATGGGTAGCTCAGTTGGTTAAGTGTCCGATTTTAGCTCGGGTCATGATCTCATAGTTCATGGGTTCAAGCCCCATATCAGGCTGTCTGCTGTCAGTGCAGAGCCCGCTTCGGACCCTGTACCCGCCCCCTACCCCCACTCTGCCCCTTCCCCACTTGCACTCTCTCAAAAATAAATATACATTATGGGGTACCTGGGTGGCTCAGTCAGTTAAGTGCTCGACTTCAGTTCAGGTCACCATTTCACAGCTTGTGACTTTGAGCCCTGCATCAGGCTCTGTGCTGACAGCTCAGAGCCTGAAGCCTGCTTCAGATTCTTTCTCCCTCTCTCACTGCCCCTCCCCTGCTCACGCTGCTCTCGGTCTCTCTCTCTCTCTCTCTCAAATAAATAAACATTAAAAATAAATAAACATACATTTTAAAAAATGTAAATATTCATTCTAGCTCCTCACATTACCTATTTCCCTTTTCTTGCTTTATATTTATCCATAGCACATATCACCATCTAATATACCAAATATTTTACTGACTTTGTCTTTCCTGACAAGAATGTCTACATGGCAGGAATTTGTCATGTTTTGTTCACTGTTACATCCCCAGCACTTAGAATAATTCCTAGCATAAAGTTGATGCTCAACAAATATTAGCTGTTTTTAAGGCATTTGCTGAATTTAAGACCAGATTTGGTAGATTATCAGCAATATCCAATAGCAGTTTGCTTCATTTACCAAATGTAAATATACATAAAATAGGTTATTTCCTTACCTATTTCACCATGCTTTGTAATGGGACCTGCATGGATTTTCAATATATCTAATCTTGCTTGCTCATTTGGTAAATCAATATCTGAAAATAAAAAATTAAAATAAATTCTTTTGCAGTCAGGTTTTTTAAAGTAGGGAATGAGAAAGAGATATGGAAAAAGAAATGGGCATAGACAAAGAGAACAGACAGCAGGTAAAGAACTTTAACTCACGTATTTTTCTATCTAATCTTCCTGGACGAAGCAAAGCAGGATCCAGTGTATCCGGTCTGTTTGTAGCCATGATCATTTTAACTCTATGTAGAGTATCAAATCCATCCATTTGATTCAGTAACTAATATATTTATAAACAAAAATCATTGACAGACTTTTATAAAACATCCCAACCATTAAAAACTAAACCATACACAACTTTTATGTGTCTAATACCATAAAATATATTGTCTACAGATAGTATGCAATCTTCAGAATGACCATTTGATGGAGTATCTTTTCTTTCTCTTATAAAAGCATGTTTTCTAGCCTCATAGTTCCAAGACAGACTATTTAATTATGTACCTTGTTATAGCTATCAAAAAGGTTTAATAAATCTGAAGGCTTCCATCTAGTCAAGAATTAAAAAACTAAACTATGTGGATCTGATTTCCAATATTCAAATTGTTTTCATAGTTCCTTTTAAAAATAAACACTATTAATAAAATCTAATGTATGTCTTAAGTTAGCCAAACATAAATTTACATTCAGATAAGCAGATACAATGACATTTCTATAAGTCTGATAATAAATCTATTAAATAGCTTTTAAATAATTCTACTATATATAGAAATACTGAGACACTAAACATACTTCAATTCCTAAAAGGTTTTTTGAATAAATATTGAAACGCCTAACTGCATTCAACAAACTCTTTAAAATACAGTTAGCATGGGGGCACCTGGGTGGCTCAGTCGGTTAAACATCCGGCTTTGGCTCAGGTCATGATCTCATAGCTCATGAGTTCAAGCCCTGTGTTGGGCTCTGTGGTGAAAACTAAGAGCCTGGAGCCTGCTTCGGATTCTGTCTCCCTCTCTCTATCCCTCCTCCACTCACATTCTGTCCCTCTCTCTCTCAAAAATAAACATACATTTAAAAAAAATTTTTTTAAATAATAAAATACAGCTAGCATGAGGCGTCTGGGTGGCTCAATTGGTTAAGCATCCGACTTCGGCTCAGGTCATGATCTCGTGGTTTGTGGGTTTGAGCCCCACATTGGGATCTGTGCTGATAGCTCAGAGGCTGGAGCTTGCTTTGAATTCTGTGTCTCCCTCTCTCTGCCCTTCTGCTCATGTTCTGTCTGTCTCAAAAATGAATAAACATTAAGAAAAAATTTTTTAAATATAGCTAGCTTAACAATGTCTATTTCTTTTCCAAAATATCTGTTAGCTAACAACACATCAGTTACCTGAATAAGACTAGCATCTGTGTTGTCTTAAAATACCTCAATTTAAGGTTTCTAAGAGAATCTATTACTCACTTGAAAATACTGTATATATTCTAAGCAGATCATTATAATTTACAAAAAGCAATTTTCAAATACTCCTACTGAGGTAGAATTTGGCACTGTATTACCTATGCTACCTAGCTTGTCTTTGTAGAAGTTGAAAAATGTGTTTGGGATCTTGCCATCGCTTTCACAGAATTTGGAGTGGGGAAAGGCTATATGTACGTTCTAATACTCCATCATCCATCTTCTTCAATTATCAAAACTATTTTAGTTTCTTCTTATTCTCAGCAATAAAGAGAGGAAAGTATTAGTGATTTTTAGAGCAGCCTCATTCATAACTCATTTATTGCCACCAGTTTTAATATGTCCATTACTCATAAGACATCTTAACAAAACTAGCACAAGATCGTGTTCACAGAATGTGAATTATCAGAAGAACAATATACAATTTAAGTATCTGAATGGTTGGGGCACCTGGGTGGCTCAGCTGGTTAAGCGTCCGACTTCATGATCTCAGTTCATGAGTTCAAGCCCCACATTGGGCTCTGTGCTGACAGCTTAGAGCCTGGAGCCTGCTTCGAATTCTGTGTCTCCCTCTCTCTCTGCCCCTCCCTGGCTCGCACTCTGTCCTCTCTCTCAAAAGTAAATAAACATTAAAAAAAAATTTAAACATCTAAATGGTTGGTCTGTTCAAAATACATGGAATTACATAGCTGTACATCAAATGGAATTTTGTAGATACCCCTATTATTTTCTGGTGGATACTTTCTTACTAGAGATTGTGGTAGAGAAATGTGTTTATTCCAGATCAAATTTTCAAATTTCATACTTAAGTGTGTTCTTCATTTAAACAATTGTACATATTTTGCCCTTCCAATACCCATGTTTTCATATATACATACAGGCTTCTTTTTAAACCTTTACCAAGTATTACCTCCATTAAAGTTCTCTGAATCTCTCTGTCAGCTGAAGTACCCTCAGAAAACCGACGACCACCTAAAATAATGATACGAAAAATCATGCATTACTCTCTTCCTCTACAATCATCATTTAACAAAAGAATGATAATGTCTGGAGTTAAAAACATGAAGATTAAGAATTAAATAGTAAAAATCATACTGACAAAGTTAGAATTGATGTTGGTATGACATGTCTCATTTTGTCAATGTCAAAATTAAACTTCTTTAAGAATTCTTTTTAGGAGTGCCTGGGTGGCTCAGTTGGTTAAGCATCCGACTTCGGCTCAGGTCATCATCTCATACATAGTTCGTGAGTTCAAGCCCCGCATTGGGCTCTGTGCTGACAGCTTAGAGCCTGGAGCCTGCTTCAAATTCTGTCTCCCTCTCTCTCTGCTCCTCCCCCACTCATGCTCTCTCTCTCTCTCTCCTTCAAAAATAAATAAAAACATTAAAAAAAATTAAAAAAAAAAGAATTTAAAGTAAGAGTCAATTCATTTTGCTACTTCATACAAATTACAATTAGAGGTAAAGCTGGTTGGGGCAGGAAGAGGAGTTCCTTTAGATTTTTTAAAAATTTTTCAACACTTTCAAGAAAAGTTTAAAATAAATTTTAAAAAGTGTTATTCTTACCAATAGCATCTATTTCATCCATAAAAATGATGCATGGTTGATGATCCCTGGCATAATTAAACATTTCTCTGATCAAACGAGCACTTTCACCAATGTACTTGTCTACAATAGAACTAGATACAACCTGATTAAGGAAAAAAACATTAACGTAAACATGAAACAATTCAAATAAAATTTAATCTCAATAGCTACAAAAAGAATCTTTCCTTTACCTTTAAGAAATTGCAGTCCAGCTGGCTAGCAACAGCTCTTGCCAAAAGTGTTTTTCCTGTACCTAAAATGACAAAAGAAGTCCTAAATAGATGGAAAGCAAAACAAATTCTCAAAAGCCTTTTAAGAATGTTATCCTTCAGATAGTAAATTTTGCAAAATGAATGCTAAATCCTAAAGAGAATTTCCATTTAAAATTCTAAAGCACTTCTACTCTCAATATTAAAATTTTAAATTTTATTCAAAACATCTCTTGTAATTCTAAGCATACTGAATACCTATATTCAAAAATATCTCAACCCCTATTTACAGGCACTACAATAGAAGCCTTTTATGTTACCTGATAATCCATTAGTCTATCCTGCATAATGAATGGATCTTTTACCTATGCATATTGTAACATCAAATATTGCTTATTTGGAAACTATTGGTTCAGTGAGTTATGAAAATCTTCCACATGTTGGCATTTTTTAATATGCAATTATTTAAAAATCACGTTTGTGAATATCACCCATCTCATCTCCTAAGTATTAGCATTAGAAAGTTGTCAGATGTAAGTTTTCAAAAACTAATTTTGGTTAAAAGCTCAACTTTTTCTCACTGGTTACAGACAGTGTTAGTTGTTTTAACATAACAGGCTAACAATTCATTTTTGAAAAAATGTTTGCCAGATAAGCAATAACCAGTCTGAATAACCAATAACCAGCCTGACAATGACAGAAATGTCTGTAAATCATGTTTGAAAGACAAAATGATATTCCATGAGGGGTGCCTGGGTGGCTCAGTCAGTTAAGCGGCCAACTTGGGCTTGGGTCATGATCTTGGTACGTGAGTTCAAATTCTGCATCAAGCTCTTTGTTGTCTGTGTAAAGTCTGCTTCATATCCTCTGTCCCCCTCTATCTCTGCCCTTCCCCCGCTCTCACTCTCTCCCTCTCTCACACAAAAATAAACATTAAAAAAAATTATATTCCAGGGGCTCCTGGGTGGCTCAGTCAGTTAAGCGTCTGACTTTGGCTCAGGTCATGATCTCATGGTTCATGAGTTTGAGCCCCACATCGGGCTCTGTGCTGACAGCTCAGAGCCTGGAGACTGCTTCAGATTCTGTGTCTCCCTCCCTCTCTCCCCCACTTCTGCTTGTTCTGTCTCTCAAAAAAAAAATGAACAATAAAAAAAAAAATATTTTAATTATATTCCATTAAAAGCAGCTAATTCAGCTGGCAACTCACATAACTGCACAAGTGTTTTTCCTAGACATAACTACTCTATCCGTTACGCAACAGAAGTGCTTTGCACAGATTTTCCATTTCATCACATAGGATACAAAACATTATTCAAAGATCAGGATTTGATAAAAATAATTTTTACTGCTTCAATAAGGATATTTTAAAGTAAAACTCCTATTTTTGTTTTGTTTCATACTACAAGTGTGAGCAGTCAGTAACACAATGACTACTAGTACCACTTCATGCCACTGACTTAACTGATTCATGCTATGGCATGAGCAATTTTACCCACATTGTTTTTGCACCATCAGCGCAGAAGTAAACACTGTGAAAATGGCAACTAATGTCTTAGTATTATCAAAGTAAGGTCAGACTTTGCAGACTCCTTGAAAGTGTCTCGGGAACAGCCAGAGGTCTGTGAACCACACAGGACCAATGCACTAGAATCATAGAGCATGTTAAGATGCATATCCTATGAGGCACAAGAGGACTAAGCACACTTGAGAGAACAGCAGACACACATCTCCTATACCTTCCCCACTATGAACAGAATGGAGGTTGTAATAGCTCACTTTAAATTTTCACCTTACTTTTTTATTCCTTCATTCATTCATTTATTAGTAGGTCAGACATAATTCAACACTAACCTGGTGGTCCATATAACAAACAGCCTTTTGGAGGTATTATTCCCACACGCTGGAATAATTCTGGGTTTGTAAGAGGTAATTCTATCACCTAGAAAAGAAGTTGCATGTTTTTTAAAAAGTCAGTAAAGATTTTGATGGACTTTAAAATACTTCAAGTAAAATATCAGCATAATTAGGTGTACATATTGTAATTCATAATAGATCTAGAATTCTATGCTATGTAAAGCTATTTTTTTAAGTTTATTTATTTATTTTGAGAGAGAGAGAACATGTGCATGTGTGGGAGGGGCAGAGAGAGAGAGGTAGAGAGAATTCCAAGCAGGCTCCACACTGTCAGTGCAGAGCCTGATTTGAGACTTGATCTCACAAACTGAGATCATGATCTGAGCCAAAATCAAAAGTGAGATGCTTAATTAACTGAACCACCCAGGCACCCCATAAAGATATTTGTATTAGAGATTCTTCTTCAGGTAGATTTAAGAAAAAATTTTTATGTAAAAATCAATTTAAAAGCCTGTAGTAGTTATTTTAACAAACTACACACTTAACTAAAGAGATGGTTACACAGACATAATTTGTCAAAACACATTTGAATTGTATACTTAAAAAGTATGTGCATTTTAGGGGCACATGGGTGGCTCGGTCAGTAAGCGTCCAACTCTTGACTTTGGGTCAGGTCATGTTCTCACAGTTCGTGAGTTCGATCCAGCTGTCTGCGCACAGCCTGCTTAGGCTTCTCTCTCTGCCCCTCCCCAACTCATGTGCGTGCGTACACATGCTCTGTCTCAAAATAAATAAATAAACTTTTAAAAACATCTGCAGGGGCACATGGGTGGCTCAGTCAGTTAAACGTCCGACTTTGGTTTCAGCTCAGGTCGTGATTTCACCGTTCATGAGTTAGAGCCCTGCATCAAGCTCTGCAGCTGACAGTGCAGGGCCTGCCTGGGATTCTCTCCCTCCTTCCCTGTCCCTCTCTTGCTCACACATGCACGCTGCTGCTCTCTCTCAAAATAAACTTCACAAAAAAATACTGTGCATTTTACTGAATGTAAATCATGCCTCAATGAAAAATCGTACTACAAAAAAAATGAGGTAAGCAAAAAAGATCTATATTATTTTGCATTTGGGAATGCAACACAAAATAATTATGAAATGAAGAAATTTAGTAAGTTAGAACGGCAATTAGGGGAAAAGGCATAAAAAATTTTCATATGTTGTCATTTTGTCATAGCAGCCTTAAAGGAACCATATATTAAGGCCGCCTAACTGGCTCAGTTGGGACAGCACATGACTCTTGATCTCAGGGTCATGAGTTCAACCTCCATGACAAGTATAGAGATTAGAAAAGTAAATAAATTAATTTTTTAAAAAAAGAACCATATAGTCTGCTCTCAATATCCTACTAAGACTGATTTAAGGAAAGAAAGCTGGAGAATAATTGAGGGCTTGATGCCCAGCTTAAACTCTTTATGGTACCAGTAACTCGAGACATAAGCTTCTACTGAATAGTTGTGTTCATGAGGTGTGACTAAGCAAAAAGTGTAAGAATCCATATTCTTAGTGTCTGCAGATGGAAAAGTACTACATGTGCATGTTTTGTGGATTACATATGTGTATGTTTTTGTATGAGAGAGACAGAGAGAGAGACATTCTTTCTGCTCCTATGGCTGATGTAGCAAATCACTGTCAAAGACAAGATTTCATAGTTCCATGAAGCACTTGCTCTTCCTGTTGCCCTTTCATTAACCACAAAGTGAGAAGAATAGACTTTTATTTAGAATTAGGCTAGTGCTTCCTCAAGTATGGTCAAAAATAATTTGGATTCAGGGAGCCTGGGTGTTTCAGTTGGTTGTGTCCGACTTCAGCTCAGGTCATGATCCCATGGTTCATGGGTTCAACTCCTGCATCGGGCTCTGTGGTAACAGCGCAGAGCCTGGAGCCTGCTTCAGATTCTCTCTCTCCCTCTCTCTGCCCCTCCCTTGCTCATGATCTGTCTCTCCCTCTGTCTCAAAAATAAACATTTTTTTAAAAATAAGGAGGAAGAAGGAGGAGGAGGAGGAAGAGGAGGAGAATAATTTGCTTTCATAGTCACCTGGAATGCTTAAATGCTAATTCTTGACTTCCACCCCCAATCTACTGCATCAATATCATGCAGAGGGCCTAGGAATCTGTATCTTTAATAAGAGTTCCAGAAAACTTAATATGTGATATCTGAAAACTACTGGCTTAAGGCTTAAATCAGATGATGCAAGCTATACCAACTATCCTCATTCATTCCTACATATTGCCATCATAAATTAGGATGAAACCAATGGGACAATGTAATTTGCTTTTAAAGAGAATTGTTAAAGGGCGCTTGGGTGGCTCAGTCAGTTAAGCATTTGACTTCAGCTCAGGTCATGATCTCACAGTTCGTGGGTTCAAGCCCCCATCAGGCTCTGTGCTAACAGCTCAGAGCCTGGAGCCTGCTTCAGATTCTGCATCTCCCTCTCTCTGCCCCTCTCCTATTCTCTGTCTCTCTCTCTCAAAAATAAATAAACATTAAAAAAAATTTTAAAGAGAATTGTTAAGAAGTTATCTGTGGGGCACCTCGGTGACTCAGTCAGTTAAGTGTCCGACTCTTGATGCCTCAGGTCATGATCTCGAGGTCCATGAGATCGAGCTCTGCGTCAGGCTCTGTGCTGACAGAGCAGAGCCTGCTTGGGATTCTTCTCTTTCTCTGTCCCTCCCCTCTCAAAATAAACAAACAAACAAACAAACAAACAAAAAAGCCATCTGTGCCATGAAGCAAGGCAATCCTGATTTGATCCGAAGAGCTTAAAAGGGTTATGTCACCCTAAGGCCAATATTTTTCTTAAATGGCAGCAAACAGCTTTATCAAAATAACATGTTTAAGGTACAGGAAGCCTGGCTGGGTCAGGTTGTGGAGCATGAGACTCTTTGTCTCGGGGTTTTGAATTCAAGCCCCACATTGGGTATGGAGATTACTTTAAAAAAATTGTTTTGCATCTTAAAAAAATGTATTTAAGGTACAGGTAACAGACTTTAAGGATGGCAAGCTAATATTAGTAAGGTTATGGGAAAAACTATATTACACACGTTATCTATATATGCTCTGATCCCAGCAACCTAGGATAATCAAAACCACAGATAGCATGGGCATTGGATTTATATCAATTATTAGCTTTTTTTTTTTTTTTTGGTCACAAAAAGAGCAGAGTTTTTGCAACACCAAATTATCTCCAAATCAACAATACCTATAATTTTTTTTAATACCTATAATTTTCAGAGCTAGAAATTCAGCGCTATTTTTCTCTCAGCAAGAATATTAAATGTATAATATTCAGTAACCACTATTTGGACAAAGTAATCTTTCATTTTCTTTCTCCCTTTGGGTATCATAAGACCAGTACTATTTATTAATAAGTTCAGAGAACAAAGCGTCCACTACCAACCTCTCTCAGTTCCCGAATCTGTTCTGATAGTCCTCCAATCTCAGAATAAGAAACATTCCCAGGGTCCTCATGAGACATGTTGTAGACCAGTGGATCCACCTCTCTTGGCAAATATCTAAAATGATAAGGTGTGTATTTTTCTTTTACAAGATGTATTTTCTCTCAGCCTACAGAGTATAAATTACTTGCTTATGTAAGCATCTATAGATGATCTTATAAAAATGTGTTTACATTAATTAGAAATTAGTAAAAGGGAAAAAGTGGCAAAATATTCAGTGATCTCAAGAAGCATATAGTATGCATAAAAACTTCTCTCTGTGAAAGGAAAAGGTAGAATAAGAAACCTACCTCATGATAGTTAGTGTAGTCATATCCAAAGCAACTCTTGTTCCTGGCTTCAGCTTACTTTTGTCAAGCTAATTTTATAAAACAAAAAGTGTTACATAAACACTTAAAAGGGGAAATACTACTCTAAAAAGAAAAAGCACAATATTTAGAAGCCACATAATCACTTTCAGTCTTCAGAGAGAACACTAAGATTAGATTATAAACACCATGCCAACAGAAGGGCTTGTAAAAGTAATAATTCAAAGTCACTTCCTTTAAAAAAATAATGCCCTTTATGCAACCTCAGCGTGAAATGTGAAATCACTAATATACAAAGTTTGTGGTGGAAAATGCCTTGCTTTTAAAGAAAAAAATGGATATTTTTATTTTACTTCCAAAGGCTATTTTCATAGTTTATTTTGATTCAGGCACTATAATATAGTGACTTTGGCAATTTGTACCAAAGCACTTATACAGAAATCTATAGGTACATTTGTACCAAAGCACTTATATAGAAATCTGTAGGTGAATATTTTGGGGTAAGGAAAGGGAAGCACTTTAAAGGTGTGCCCTTTATTTTTTTCTTTTAAAATCTATTTTATTTTTTATTAAATAAATTTGTCATATAACACTATATAAGTTTAAGGTATACGGTGTTACTCTGATATATTTATATATGGTAATATGCCCTTTAGATTTATCTTAAAAACTACAGCTTTGGGGAAGAACATGTTACTTGACTATAGGAGAAATATACTCATTTTGTACTCCTTTCGAGGTTTTTATTAAAATGCTAAAAACAAAAACAAAAAACCCCAGAACCATCATTCATGCTTTTGCCACATGCCAGATACCATGCTAAATAAATTATATATTAGGCTGAATCATACTAAACAACTTACTGGCATACTTAGGCAGGGTAACTTATTTGGCTAGAATTAGATAGAGACTATCCAACAGATGCACCTCACACTCAGGGTGTTACCTTTCCAAAATTAAGTTACCTTTTGATAGTTCAAAAAACAACTTGCCAATACAATTTCAGAATACAAATTACTACTTTTCACAGGATTTTGCAAAGAACTCTAAGTTCAGGATTTAGTGCCAATTAAAATGAAGTGGAGATAGGCAAAAATACTAGTTTTAATATAATGGATTGAACTTTAAAAAGTTGCTAGTGGGGCGCCTGGTTGGCTCAGTGGGTGGAGCATGCAACTCTTGCTCTCAGGGTTGTAAGTTGGAGCCCCACCTTGGGGGTGGAGATTACTTAAAAATAAAATCTTAAAAAAAAAAAAAAAGTTGCTAATAAGTGAGGTACTTAAAAAAAAGAGCCGAACAAAAATCAATGTAAATCTATTTCAACATTTATATCTACAGAGAATACAGACTCAGACTTTTCTAAGATTTTCCAGTTTTCAAATACTCTTGCCCTCATACAACCATGAAATATCTTAGAAATACCAACTTTTGGAATCCAGAAGGCCCTGTAAGGGACATAAAATCTTTTGTCAGACTAGACATTTAATATTTTGATTTGGAAAATGTCTTCCCATTTATATGCTAGGCACAATGCTAGAATAAGATTTAGTCCCTGTGTTATATTCTACTCTACAGTCATGTTGTATCAATGTTTTCAAACATGAACCTGATATGACAAATACTCAGAAAAAGTTCTTTCAATGAATTTATAAGAATGTTTTAAGGATCCTTCCTGAAGAATAAGATAGCACATAAATTGGCCTCAGAGGCTACTAAATTATTTAAAGCCATTTGTTGGCATTTTTGAATGCCAACATGTATTCTAAAAATGAAATTGGCAGTTATTTCCATTTGCCTATTCTAATCTAAATGAAAGCATACCAAATCACCAAATCAACTCAGGCTACAGCAAAGTCTTTGAGTAACATTTCCGAATGTTTAAATATAAGACATAAGTAATTGATAAGGTCTAAGTCTCTTCAAAAAAGACATTAAAATAAAATGACCTGAGATATTTTCCAGTTCCAAAATTCTTAGATTTCTAAATATGTAGAGTTGACTGACACAATGTGATAAGTGTAGAAAGTAGAGAATACCAGGAGTCAATGCCCATAGTTTGAGATCAAGTTTTGTTAGTTATATCTGGACAAATCACCTTTAGGAGTTACAGGCGTAATGCCTGACCTGCTTACCTCAAGAATTAAATAACATATTTACAAAAGCACTTTTATCAATTGTAAAGCACTATACAAATGTAAAATGTTACCTGTCGACGACAACCCACAACATATCGTGGTCCATTTGTGGCTTTAACAATGACTAGAGGAAGAGAATGAAAGGACAAATTGAAAAATAGAAAGTAAAAAATAAATACATCCACATTGATGGCAGGTTGAGTTTTATTCCTGTGCTCCAAGAAGGTAATAGTTGAAAGAAAATTTAAGTCTATGCAAGAATATCATCTCCCTTCATTACTGTCATTAAAATAATAAGCATTTCAAAAGTTCATGGTGGGAGAAAGGAGAGTCCACTCTTTTTTCTTTACTAATTAACAGTCCAATCCACTTACATTTTTCTTCAGTTAGTTGCTTAAGTACTTCACCTACAATCTGAGAAAGAAAAAAAAGCATTACTTTTTGCCAGTAACAAAAAAACAAATTACCATCACTCCCTACACCCCAAACTCCATTACCTACCTGCCCAACACTTTGTAGGGCCTTCAGATCATTTTCAGACTTTTCATACTGCTTGGTAAGTTCTTTTAATTGTTCCCTTACTGAAATAATATAATTTGAACATTTTTAATTAAACAATAATCTTAGTGAGTTTAAGTCACTAAGTATTACTTTATTTATTTAAGTTTGTTTCAGTCTATTACACCTTACATATAATTTATATCCACTATCTGAAATCACAAAAGAAATAATTCCATTTGCAGAGAACATTTTTAAAAATGAAATCTTACAGTTTTTTAATTTTTATTCATTTTTGAGAGACAGAGAGTGTGGCTGAGGCGGGTGGAAGGGGTGGGGAGGTAGGGGCAGAGACAGGGGGGCTTAGAATCCAGCAGGCTCAGGCTCTCTGAGCTGTCAGCACAGAGGCCAACGCGGGGCTCGAACTCACGAGCTAGGAGATCATGACCTGAGACAAAGTTGGAGGCTTAACCTACTGAGCCAACCAGGCTCCCCGAAATGTTACAGTTTAAAAGCACCATATTTTTATTTTCTTGATTGGCAATACTTATTCAAGCACATTCGTAACATTGTTACATTGTTAACAGATATTGACACCGACACTTTTGGATTTGCGACTACAAATCCAAATGATAAAAGAGACCCTTCCTCATCTCTTCAGCCACCTACACGGATTAATACTCTATGGCTTTCCACCCTAAATAAGGTCAACAGGTGCAGTGACCCACAGAATTATATGGTTATGGTCTTTCTTCATTTAATCAAACTATCTGGCTTTTCAGTGAAAGTGCACTACGAAAATACGCAAGCGCCCTTTTAGTTCAGGAGGCAAGGGAAACTTGTGTACCTGATGGAGTACAACTCAAAATACGAGGAAAGACGAGGAGGGTTATTATGTCCCACCGATGGGCTCCGCTCCGGCTTTCCACCCCAATAACAAGCCATCACCTCGAGTCTCACTTCTTGCTTGAGCTTCCATGACTCAAGCCTCCGTTCTGGGTCCCAGGACTCATCTACACCCCCCTTCTTGCACCCCAACCTGGCAAACATCCCTGGCCCACTTCTTTCCCACTCCTTCTCTAGTCTTCTTCCACTTCCATCTCAGAAATAGGGATGTTCTCTCTGTCACCTGGACCAGAGTGGGCCATTTCTACTGTTCAAGAGGCTGTACTTCCCAACCTCAGGGCCGGATGACAAAGCGCCTTGTCCCTGGACCGAGGCCTTCCTACCCCCGGAACTCGGTTGCCGGGCTCGGCCAAGGGCCTCTGCTTTGTGAGAGACAGATGCAGGTCCAGGCATAGGATTTTATGAAAAGAAAGATGCACTCACACTCCTTGAGACGGCCGTCGATCTCCTTGTGCTCCAGCAGCTTCTTGCGGTAGTCCTGAAGCGCCTTATCTCTAGGGTCCGCCATGATGAGAAGCCGTCGCTCATAGGGGATGCCGGGAATGGCCATGGCCGCCCGGGCGGGGGAAGGGGCGGGGCGAGGGCGGAAAGCCTCCGGGAGGGGGCGTATTCGTGGGCGACCACGCCCCTTCCGGTTGGCCCCGCCTCTCTACTCCACATCTCCCACTTCTGCGTCTCGGTTCACCTAGGGCGCCGGCGTGCGCTGAAGGAGGCCTCCAGCGACACCGTCCCCTGCAGGTCGAGCTGGGTAAAGCAGGAAGGTGTTGTCTGTTAGTCCCTTGAGAGGCCTCGATATGGTGAGACCACTGCTCTCCTGGAACCACCAAAGACTTTGTAATGCACTGAGATGGCAGTGAAGTAGGCAGTGCAATCTCTGTATCAGGATAGACTATCAGGATAACACAGATAGCCTATTGGTGGTAACACGGTTCCTCCAGGAACAGAGGGAGTAGGCTATTTTATTCATTCATTCGGTGAATGAGGTACTAAGGATAAGATCTGAAAAAATAATTTCAGAGTGTAATAAATACTATGATGGAAATAAAACATGGCGATGTTATACAGTAAGGTGAGGAGAACTAATTTAGAAGAACATCTGAGATAAGGAGCCAGCCATGCAACAAACTGGAGAAGAAACTTTCAGAGAGAGGAAACAGCAAGTGCAAAGATCTTCAGGTAAAAAAAGAGCTTGGCTCATTTCTAGGAACAGAAAGCAGGCCAATGAGACCGGAAGAGGGTGGGCTATAGAGAAACGGAGCACAAAATGAAGACGCTGAAGTAGGCTGAGTCAGGAGCTTTTAAAATCTGACAGAACTCAGATTTCTGTGCTTTCGGGCAAATTACTTAATCTTTAAAAATCTCTGTAAAGTGAGCGTAATAACTGTACCTGTCTCGTAGGGATATCATGAGTATTAAATAAGATATGTGTCTATTAACACAATGTCTGGCACACAGTAAGCACTCAATAGTGTTTTAAATAGTGATTTTAAATTATTTACTTTAAGGGTAGTAATAACCTCAGTTTTTGCAGAACAGGTCCCCATTGCTGCACCTCTTCTAGCATTGTTCCTGGGGAGAATTTATTGTTATATTCAATAGACTCAGTCAGAGTCCCCAGATATATGCCATTTGATCTCATCTAATACAGTGGTCCTGGATATTTGAGTTTAAATAGGTATGTTCTACATATACATATAAAGTGCAAATTTGTGCAAATTAAATTACCAAAGGCACGTAAAAGATGTCTTCAAATTTCTTAGGAAAAAATCTTATGGGTATTGTATGAATATTATATTCTGTTTTTCTAAATATAATTGTAAATTGCAGTAGATAATAAACAAGGAAGACAGGGGCGCCTGGGTGGCGCAGTCGGTTAAGCGTCCGACTTCAGCCAGGTCACGATCTCGCGGTCCGTGGGTTCGAGCCCCGCGTCAGGCTCTGGGCTGATGGCTCAGAGCCTGGAGCCTGTTTCCGATTCTGTGTCTCCCTCTCTCTCTGCCCCTCCCCCGTTCATGCTCTGTCTCTCTCTGTCCCAAAAATAAATAAAAAACGTTGAAAAAAAATTAAAAAAAAAAATAAACAAGGAAGACGGATTGAGCACGGGTAGTCCCTTCTCCTGCTCAGCTAGCTGCAAGTGTTCTGGTCAAACTAACCCGTGGATACCAAAAGATATCACCTCTGACAAGAAATAAAGAAGAGAGGATAAGACAGGAAAAAAAAGACAGCTCAGTTTGTTTCAATCCAATAAATATTTATGAGCACATAACATACCAATATTTTAAACTCCCTGACCCTTCTTCTTTTTCTGTCACCCATCTGGCGAAAGTCCAACTTCAGATGAACCTCCTATCTATTTTCCACATGGCTGTTCAGAACAGCCCTGTTTCTTTTTTATATGCACCCGTAAGACCATATCCCTCTTCATCAGAAAATGTACCTCAACTTGTAATTTTACATTCATAAGCATGCTTAAATGTTTAGTGTCTTTTCCACCTAGTAGATTATAAGCTCTAGAAAAACAAGGACTGTGACTATTTCTTGCTTATTATTGTATACCCAGAAGATGATTATATATATAAATTATTGAATGAATGGGTGTGTGAATATATCAGATATTATAATAGGAGCAGATACAAAAAGACTAAGAAGAGTCATCAGTACTCTAGGACCTTAAAATATCATACAGTAGAGGGACGTCTGGGGGTTCAGTCGGTTAAGCTTCTGACTTCAGCTCAAGTCATGGTCTCATGATTTGAGAGTTTGAGCCCCTCATCAGGCTCTGTGCTGATAGCTTGGAGCCTGGAGCCTACCTCAGATTC